TTAATGTATACTAAACCCAAGCCCTTAGATAGCAGGTGGTAAGGAACTGCTTTTTTACCGGCAAAAACGGATATTAAATCCCTCACAAGATCATCCAGTTCTCACATTTAGGAAACTCTACAACATGAAATAAAGGTCCTCCACCATCATGGTAAGGGCCAGTAAAGGGCCAGGTCTTAAATAGTTCAGGTCTCAGGGCCAAACTTCTCTTACCACCACTCAGTTCTGTCACTGTTGTCTGAGAGCAGCCATAGACAATACCTGAACAAATGGCCATGTTCCAGGTATAAAATTTTATATACAAACAGGTGCTGACCAGCCCCCTGGCTTTAGTATATTCACTCCTGCCATTAAAGTACAACTTATAAAAGGTAATACTTTAGCAAAATGAATTTGAAAGAGACTTCAAAATGCATGCCAATTCTTGTTACAATCTTCAGATGGTTGAGAGCATTCAGCATAAAAATGACTACAATTTGATATTTCTCTTGAATCATTAATATTTTCCTATTACTTTCAATTATAGTTGAAAAAAAGATACATTTTCTGAATCTTCTCTATAAAACAGAATAGACTCTATTCATAAAGGACCGTTGATTTTCAAAAGAAATTGATCAGAAAATGACTTTTTTGAAGCACGTGTATCTGGAGGGTTTCTAGAAAATCAAAACCTGCCCTGGCTGGTGTGGCTCAATGGACTGAGTGCCGGCCTGCAAACAGAAAGTTGGTCACCAGTTTGATTCCCAGTCAGGGCACATGCCTGGGTTGCAGGCCAGGTCCCCAGTTAGGGGTGAGCGAGAGGCAACCTACCAATGTATCCATCACACACTGATGTTTCTCTCCTTCCCTTTGTCTCTCTAAAAAGAAACAAAATCTTTAAAAAGTGAAATGGATGAAACTGATCATTGTCAATAGGCTTCACACACACACATACACACACAATAAAATCTTCTATTATTTCTTAACTTTCAGGTAATCAGAATGACTTACAAATTTAGGTATATACATTAAAGTATTTTCCATAAAGTCTGAATCACTTCCCTTAAAAAACTTGCAGAATACCTTTGTTCATATGGATACAACAGAAAATAAAGGAGGCATTTCCACTGCTTTGCAAATTCTAAATAATTTACAAGGATTTTATTAAGTGGCAGGTCATATTACATCAATTATCTTTATTTTCTAAGAATAAAACTATATTATTTAAATCAAAGAAGCCTCACCATTGCTTAGTATTTCTCTTTTTCATTTCTTGGTAACTTCCAATGGCAAAACCACCATATATGACCCCAACATGGGAAAGAACAGTAAGATGACAATAAAAGCCTTATAGAAGAGTCTGTCATGAATGAGAATCAAGAGGTACAATAATAGATAGCATTAGCAGAATCAGACCTTCAAGAACTTCAAACAATAGAACTACTGCATCAATGATAAAAGGAATCAAAACATAAAAACAAAACTTTATTAGAAGTTAACCTGCAAATCCAGTAACAAAAAGACAACCCAATAAAAGATGGGCAATGGATCTGAATAGACATTTCTCCAAAGAAGATGTGAAATGGCCAGTGAGAACATGAAAAGGTGCTCAAGATCATCAGTCACTGGTGAAATGTAAATTGAAATCCAAATGAGAGATTACCTCACACCCACTAAGATAACTAATTGTCATAAAAAAAGCAGACAAGAGCAAGTGATGACAAGGACGTAGAGAAACTGGAACCCTGCTCATGCTCTGTCATGGGAATGTAAAATGGTGCACTCATTTTGAAAAAGTCTGGCAGTTCCTCAAAAGGTTAAATTTAATTACCGCATGAGCCAGCAATTCCACTCCTAAGTATATAAGCAAGAGAAAGACAAGCCTATGTACTCACAAAATTTGTACACAAATGTTGATAGCAGCATTGTTTAATAGCTAAAAAGGGAAACAACCCAATTACCCATCAACCGATAAATGGATAAACCAAATGTGGTGTATCTATTAACAGACTATTATCCATGCATAAACAGAAAGTACTGATACATGTCACCATATGAATGAACTTTGAAACCATTATACTAAGTGAAAGAAACCAGTCACAAAAGATCACATATTATATGATTCCATTTATGAGACATACCCAGCACAACCAAATCTAGAGATACAAGATGGGATTTCTTTTGGGGATGATGAAAATATTCTGAAGTTGATTACGGTGATAATTTAAAAATTTTGTGAATATAATAAAAATCACTAAACTACACACCTCAAATGGGTGAACTGTATTTTATGTTAATTATCTCAAAAAAGCTGTTAATTAACAACAGCCTTTTTATGTGGGATAATGAAAACATCCTTATTGCTTAAACCACTATTAGCTGGGTATTTCGTTACTTTTGGGCAAAAAAATCTTAAATTATTCACATACCATCGGTAAGCTGATGCTGAAAGCTGGGGAATCCAAAGGGGAATACCTATGGCTAGAAATCTGAAATGGTACTGCCACAGCCTGCCACTCTGCCTTCGTCTAAGAGCCTGATCCAAGACACATATAAAGTAAACGGTCAATCAACTTTCTCCTCTAGTTTTTAGCACCCCCTCCTCCTGCCAAGTGAGAAGAGACAGATGCTTAGCTTTGCCACCTTGATTAACATTCACAGTGTGCAATGTGTTTGGCCAAGTTTTCCAGGTTGAGTCCTTTCTACAAATTTCTAGGAATTAAGTAAATATTTTACTCAGAGTATGTTTTCTTCACCTATCTTCCAAAGCACAAATGTATGAGAATTCAACCTAAGTTTCAGGTAAAAATCTGTATAAAATGAAAAATGTGTTCTACAGAAACATTAAAAATATTTTAATTCACATTAAAATAACTACTATTACAATCCAAGTTTTAGAAATGATAAGGATTCTTTAGCATCCCTTTCTTCTAGAACAATATTTTTAAACAGAAAAATTTTGAACTGTAGGATCTTGTGTGCATAAGGGTAAAGAAGTTTTTTCAGTGATAGTATGCTTAAAGAATGATTTTGAAATGATTCATGATCTTCGCATATGTAATATACTTTCAGTTTTATCAAATGGAATTTATAACATGTTTCATAATACAGTTATGAATACCAATAACAAGTGTCAGTAACTCAATAAAATCTTCCTGAAAAATGAGAAAAATACAATTTGCTTCATGTCTTTCTCTCTTTTCTATGAATTGTCCCCTATACTTCCACACAGGGAATTGAAACGGATATACAGCAGTATTTTAGCCTAAACTTTAACAACAAAATTTAAAAACTAAGCAAATAAAAAGAAGTTAATATTAGGCTGCCAAAAGTAGCTCTTATTAGGACAGAACTTTATCATGGAGTTGGTATAAGTGGGTAGAAAATTAATAAGTATATGATAACGAATATAAGCAGGACAACTTGAAACAAAAATAAAACAGAAGTTATTTCCAGTATCTCTGAATAAAATACATACCCACATCAAACTTCACCATTGCAACATATTTTCCTCACTGAAGCTGCAGCTTTAAGTCCATGTTCATAACAACATGGTTGCTGTGGAAATAGCTGATTCAACATTATGAACTCACAGCTGAATATTATTTTATTTGGTGTGGAGCAGAAGTCTTATTTAAATAGTGGCAAGAACCATAAAACAAGAACGGCAAACCAAGTGACGGTGAGTCAGAGCACCATAAGTTTTAACGTGAGGGTCATACCTTTTTCCCCCATGCCTGACACAAGTAGAATGTTTCCTTTTCATTTAGTCCTATATTTTGGAACCCTATAATCATCTCAATCATCCCTCAAATGCCCCAGTGTGCATTTATTAAATCAATGCTGCTTAGGACAGAGTTACTCTAGTTCAGGCCTTTCCAGAACATGCAGAAGCTATGGCACCAACAACACAAGTCAGGTAGGGTTCTGAATGTTTTCTGCAAGTCATTGATTCTGTTAAATACAGTAGTACTGACTTATTAATCATATAGCACCACTTCAGACTTTGGTTTTGTCTACAGGTTTTAAGACCATAAATGCTCCAAGTACAAAATTTGTCAGAAAATGTTAACGAGCACCCAGCTCCACATCGCAGCCTCCAGCCACAGCACTGTCGTCACATCTCAATTTGTTCCTCCACTTTTATGGGTCAGTTAAGAGTTTTCCTAGCAACGCTGAAAACCCTCAAGACACCTAGAAATGGTGTGAGTTACCTGAACTTAAGTAAGTGTATGCTCCTATGCCCCACCTCTGCTTCCCTTTCCACCTTTTAATTGGAGACAGACCCACTTTTCTTTAATCACACACACACACACATCACCAATCTTTTCCTCTGGTTTCTGAACCTTCCAAAAATTTGAACATTCTGAAGCTAGAAATTTTACTCTTTGTAAAATAAAACATATGTGTGGAGCCATTAAAACAAACTGACCTTTCCCTGCTTAGGAGATGGTACGGGGAGACGTGGCTCTATAAACAGAAACCAGATTCCCCCAGCAGCTGGCACAGCCGAGGGTGTGGCTGCCCTCTGCGTGTGCACAGGAGACCAATTCATACCAGCAAGACCGGAAAAATTACAACTGAGAGCAACTGTGGAAGCAGTGAGAGCCACGGACAGAACGCAAAGGACTCTGACTCTCTGCTACGTGAGTCACAGGAAATGCTCCCGCCAGAGCCAGGAGGCTTGGCCCTAGTTCCTTCAGTTAGGAATGTAGGTCAGAGCTCCCTGGGCTTTGTGCTTCAGGGAGAAGGGTTGAGACCAAGACTCAGAGCAGAATGCCAATTCCTAGGGACCAGGGAGACTGGGCACTGGCCTTGGCCTGCCCTCTAGCTAAGCCTCCCCTTCTACACACACCACAGTGAACTCCATCATCCCAGAAGTGAACACACTGGGGTGCTAGGCTAGCTCTCCTTTCTAGTCGGATTTGGGCCACTTCATGTGCTCTTATCGGCACTCACAGGATGAAGGGCCCTGAGACTGGAGCTCAAGTTGGGTTTATATGTAGTGAGAGTCAGCTCACCTAGCTCTGTAGACACGGGCGACCCGGTGGCAATCTCACCAATCTTGGCCACTCCATCATAGTAGGCTTTTCCCGCCAGAATCATAGCTAGACAGGGAAGGTGAAACACAAAATCATCACTTAGACAAGGAAAGGAGACAGCGACACAGGTTTTCTTCCAAGAATCCCTCAGTCCCTTTGGTGGCAGGAAACTTTGGGCTGCGACAAGTATGGCTCTAGGAAGGCAGGGCTTGTGCTTGACAGCTATGCCTGGAAAAGGCCCCCACCACTGGAGAGCACCGTGGGACCCTTCCTCGGATCAGTCCTGGGAAGCACTCAGCAGCAAGCCCTGAAGTCCAGAGAAGGCCCTGCCCGAGCCTGATGCCAGGTCCAGAATAGCTTACGGCTTTTACCATATATGTATACAAGTTTAGGAAATGTAATGTTCTACTCTACAGTTATTTCAATAGACTGAGGATAACCTTCAAGTATAATCATAAATAAGAATAATAATAAATAGCATTTATGTAGACATTCCAAGCCATTATTTACATTGTTCTAGCCAACAACATTAAGACTTGGGTAGATGATGTTATTGCCCTGTTCCATGAAGGGCAGGAGAGTGGAGGTATTCTGGGACATTCCCAAGGACAGTGGCAAGTCAGAGGGAGGGCACGCAACTCCAGCTAAGCTACTGCACTTTCTCAGCTCTAACTAATGGTGATTTTTGACACTCTGCCTTCAGAACTGAAAAAGAGATGACTCCACCTAAAAACAAGCTCACAGCCAGTAAACTGTCAAGTTAATATATGCAATATTTTAGTATGAAGATTTTTAAATTGCAAGGTACTGATAAACTGAAAAACAAATTTGTGGGAGAATGGTATACAGGATTACACAATATTTAAATAAAATTTTTGGTTTGAACCCACATATCCAAGTGAAATTTTTCATTATCTGTTGATTTATGTTTAAAACTGTTTAACTTTCCTAGTCTAGTAAGATATTCTTGTTTTTATCATAAAGTTGAATTAACTTTAAAAATTATATAATTGATCCAGGGTAAATAATATTTTTGTAAAATTTTGGACCCTTCTGTGACACTTTAAGAGATTTTCTGCCATTTATTGTTTTAAGGAATGAAGCATATTAGTTCTATTTTACTTATTTAAATTAGTTTGTTGTAGTCCCATTTGTCTATTTAGATGGGGGGGCACACTCGTTAATAACATAATGTAAATCACAGGTATATAACTTTATAATATGGTATCTGTATAATCTACTGTGTGCTCACCACCCAAAGTCTAGTTTCTTCCTGTCACTATGTATTTGGACCCCTTCACCCCCTTTGTTCTCCCCTACCCCTTTCCCCCTCTGATAATCACCAATCTCATGTCTGTATCTATGAGTTTGTTGCTTTTTGATTTATATTCCATCTGAGTAAAATCATATGGTTCTTGTCCTTTTCCATCTGACTTATTTTACTTAGCATAATACTCTCAAGATCCATCTGTTATTGAAAAAGGCAGTATTTCATATTTTTAATGGCTGAATAGTATTCCAGGGCATATATGTACCACACCTTTATTCAGTTATCTTCAAAAGATACTTCAGCTGTTTCCATGTCTTGGCTATTATGAATAATGCTACAGTAAACATAGGAATACACACATTTTTACAAATAAATGTTTTCAATTTTGGGGGGTAGATATCCAGAAGAGGGATTACTGGGTCATATGGTAGTTCTATTATTATTTTTTTAACTTTTCTTTCATTGGCTCTAGAGACAGGGGAAGGAAGGGAGAAAGAGGAAGAGAAACATCAATGTGAGAGAGAAACACTGTCTGGTTGGCCTCTTGCATGTGCCCTAAACTGGGGACTGAATCTGCAACTCAGGCATGTGCTGACTGGGAATTGAACCAGTAACCTTTTGGTTTATGGAACAATGACCAACCAACTGAACAACAGTGAGGGCAGGGCAGTAGCTCTATTCTTAATTTTTTGAGGAACCTCCATACTATTTGCCATAGTAGCTGCACCAATAGACATGCCCACCAGCAGAGTGTGAGGGTTTCCTTTTCTCCATTTCCTCTCCAACACTTATTTCTTGTCTTACCGATAATTGCCATTCTAAAAGGTGTGAAGTGTTATTTCACTGTGCTTTAATTTGTATTTCCTTTTTAACTAGTGATGTTGAGCAGCTCTTGCTATACCTGTTGGCCATCTGTATGCCTTCCTTGAAAAAGTGTTTATTCAGGTCTGCTGCCCACTTTTTAATCAGATTTTGTTGTTGTTGAGCTGTAGGAGTTCTTTATATATTGAGTTGGCTAAAAAGTTCATTTGTTTTTTTTCTCCCCGGTAAGATGGCTCTAACAGCACTTAGTTGTCTTTAGCTTCATTCAAAAACAATTGTTAGATTGTATGCTTTATTATTTCAAGAAAGGTAAAAATGTAACTGAAATACAAAAAAAGATTTGTGCAGTATATGGAGAAGGTGCTGTGACTGATCAAACATTAAAAGCGGTTTGCAAAGTTTTGTGCTAGAGATTTATCGCTGGATGATGCTCCATGGTTGGGTAGACCAGCTGAAGTTGACAGCGATCAAATCAAGACATTGAGAATAATCAACATTATACCACGTGGGACATAGCCGACATACTCACAATGTCCAAATCAATAAAGCTACTGGTGAAAATGAAAAATGTGTCTTTTATGTTACAAAAAAAACCTAAATGGACTTTTGGGCCAACCCAGTATTTTAGATATTGTTTGTAAATATCTTCTTCCAATTGGCTCGCTGCCTTTTAGTTCTGTTGATTGTTTCTTTTGCTCTGCAGAAGCTGTTTAGTTTCTTGTAGTCCCATTTGTTTATTTTTTTCTTTTACTTCCCTTGTCTTTAGAGTCAAGTTCACAAAACAAAAGAAAACCCTCTGAGATCAAGTTCCATAAGTTTAATGGCTATGTTTTCTTCTGTTGTTTTATTGTCTTGGGCCCTATAGTCAAGTCTTTAATCCATTTTTAGTTAAATTTTTTTGGTATAGTATCAGACAACAGCATAATTTCATTCTTTTGCATTTGGTTTTCCAGTTTCCTCAACACCATTTATTGAAAAGACTTTTCTTTTTCCCTGATATGTTGAACATTAGTCGCCCATATCTGTATGGGTTTATTTCTGAGCTCCCAATTCTGTTCCATTAGTATGTGTATATATATATATATGTGTGTGTGTGTGTGTGTTTCTTCCAAAACCATAGTTTTTTGGTTACTGTAGCTTTGTAATATAGTTTGAAGTCAGAAAGTGTGATACCTCCAGCTTTGTTCTTTTTTCTCAGGATTGCTTTGGCTATTCAGGGTGTTTTGTGCTTCCATATAAATTTGAGTTTTTTTTTTCCTATTTCTGTGAAAAATGCCTTTGGGATTTTGATGGGGATTATGTTAAGCCTGTATGTTGGTTTAGGTAATACGGCCACTTTCCACAAAGTTAATTCTGCCAATCCATAAAACCAGAACATCTTTCCATTTCATTGTGTTCTTCAATTCCTTTTAACAGTGTACAAGAGCATTGCAGTTTAAAGTACAGGTTTTCCGACTTCTCTGTTTATTCATAGGTATTTTATTCTTTTTGTTGCAAGTGTAAATGGGATTGTTTTCCTTATTTTTTTTGTCTGATATTCTGTTGTTAGTATATAGGGATGCACCAGATTTTTCTATAGTGATTTTGATCCTGAAACTTTATTGTATTTGTTTATCATTTCTCGTGGTCTTTTAGTGGAGTCCTCAGGGTCTTCTATATATAGAATCATGTCATCTGCAAATAGGAATAGTTTTACTTCTTTATACCCAATTTGGATGCCTTTTCTTTTTCTTGCCTGACTGCTCTGGCTAGACATTCCAGTACTATGTTGAATGACAATAGCAAGAGTGAGTATCCTTGCCTTATTTCTGATCTTAGAGGAAAAGCTTTCAGTTTTTCACCATTGAGTATGGCATTAGCTGAGGGTTTGTCATGTATGGCCTTTATTATATTGAGGTACTTTCCTTCTCTACCCACTTTATTGAGTATTTTACTCAATAAATGGATGCTGTGCCCTGGCTGGTGTAACTCAGTGGACTGAGTGCCAGCCTGCAAACCAAAGGGTTGCTGAATCGATTCCCAGTCAGGGCACATGCCTGGGTTACAGGCCAGGTTCCCAGTAGGGGGCATGCAAGAGGCAACCACACATTGATGCTTCTCTCCCTCTCTTTCTCCCTCCCTTCCCCTCTCTCTAAAAATAAATAAAATCTTTTAAAAAAATGGATGTTGTATCCTGTTAAATGTTTTTTTCTGCATCTATTGATATAAGATTTTTATCTTTTATTTTGTTAATGTGTTGTACACATTGATTGATTTGCAGATGTTGAACCATCCTTGCATCCTTATAATGAACCCCTCCTTAATCATGATGTATTATCTATATAATGTGTTGTTGTATTAAGTTTGCTAGTATGTTCTTTAGGATTTTTGCATGTATGTTCATCAGAGATACTGATCTGCAATTTTCTTTTTTGGTGTTGTCCTTGCCTGGGTTTGGTATCAGGGTAATGTTGGCCTTGTTTGGCCAATAGTGAGTTAGGAAGTATTTCCACTTCAGTTTTTTTGTAAAAGCTTGAGGAGATATTAAATATTCTTTGAATGGTAGAATTCACCAGTGAAGCCATCTGGTTCAGGACTTTAATTTTTTAGGTTTTTGATTATCATTTCAATTTCCTTACCAGTGATTGGTCTACTTAGCTTTTCCAATTCTTCATGGTTCATGCTAGGAAGGTTATATATTTCTAAGACTTTGTCCATTTCTTCCATGTAATCAAATTTGGTGGTGTCTATTGTAACTTCTGTTTCATTTCCGAGTCTTTCTTTTTGCTTAGTGAGATCATTTGCTTGAAGTGTCATCTTCCACCAGTTCTCTTTAAGACTATGCTCTTTAGAGCTGAGATGACTCTCCTGCAGGCAACATATAAGTGGGCCTTGTTTTTAAATCCATCCCACTACTCTGTACCTTTAGATGGGTGAGTTCAGTCTATTTACATTTAGGGTGATTATTTATAAACCAGGACTTACTACATCCATTTTATCTTTTGAATTCTGGTTGTTCTGTATCTCCATTGTTACTTTTCCCTTGTGATTCTGTCTGCTATTTAATTTGGTGGTTTCCTATTTTTTCTATGTTTCATGTCTCAGTTCTTTTTTATGTTTCATGTCTCAGTTCTGGGTGGTTGTTTTGTGGCTGTAAAATATCTCATATACACAAGAGTATTTTTTCTTCTAATTGCCCGTTCTTTTCATTCACCTGTACTCGATTCAGTCCTTCTCCTCCGCCCCTTCTATGATTTTGTCAAATTTTCCCTTAAAAAATTTTTTTTAATTAATTTTTTTTAGAGGGGAAAGGAGGAGAAAGAGGGAGAGAAACATCAATGTGTGGTTGCCTCTTTTGTGCCCCTCACCAGGGACATGGCCCACAATCTAGGCATATGCCCTGACTGGGAATTGAAACAGCGGCCCTTTGGTTCACACGTTGGCACTCAATCTGCTGATCCACACCAGCCCACATACAAATTTTCCCTTTATGTTGTGCATTCATTACCAAATTGTAGTACTAATTTTAATGTCCCTTTCCCCCTTTAACCTTTATAGTTGTTTAATAATATATTCTGAAGTAGATTTATAGTTTTCTGCTTCTGTCAATCATCTTACTCAAAGTTGTACATATTTTTTTTTTTTTTTGGTAGAAGAGTTCCTTCCAACGTTTATTGTAATGCAGTTTTTGTGGTGGCAAATTCTCTCAGCTTTGTTTGTCTGGGAAAAATTTTCTCTATCTTTCATATTTAAAGGATGGCTTTGCTGGATGTATTATCCTTGACTTTTAATATTTTGAATAATAGTTCCATTCTCTCCTGCCTTGTAATGTTTCTACTGAGAAATCTGATCATAATTTAGTGAGGTTTACGTTGTAGGTTAGTCTCCCGCCCCACCTTTTCTGCTGTGAGAACTCTGTCATTAATTTTGAACAGTCTGAGTTAACTTGTCTCTTGGAGAAGGCCTTTCTGTGTTAATATAATTAGATGTCCTCTTAGCGTCCTTTATTCTGAAGTACAGTTCTTTCCACAGGCTTGAGAAGTTCTCATCCATTATTTCTTTGAGCAGATTCTCTATTCCTTTCCTCTTCTTTTCTCCTGATACACCTATAATCCTTAGGTTGCTCTTTCTAATGTAATCAGATAGTTCTCATAGAGTTTGTTCTTTCATTGCCTTAAACTCTAACTTCTCTCTTCTCCCTCCAGGGTCCTTTTTAGGTTGTATCTTTGAGTTAGCTAATTCTCTCTTCCATCTGGTCTGCTCTATTTCCAATATTCTATTGCATTCCTCATTTCCTTCATTAAGTTCTTCAGCCCCAGAGCTTCTGCTTAGTTTTTTTTAATAGTTTCAATCTCTTTGGTAAAGTACTCCTTTTGTTCATTAACTTTATTCCTTAATTCAGTAAATTACCTTTCTGAATTTTTTTGTTTATCCTTGAGTTTCTTCATAACTACAATTTTGAATTCTCTGTTATTTAAATCATTGTCTTCCATGACTTTGATTTGGTTTCTGGAGACTTTTCATTTTCTTTCTATACTCCCAAGTTACCTTGGTTGTTCATGTCATTTGATGGATTGTTTCTTTGCCTGTGCATTTGAGGCTCTCCTGTTTAGATACCATTTTGCTCTCAACAATTCATTAGATTGATAGGGAGGGTACCTTCTTTTGTTTTCCAGTAGATGGTGCTGTATTGCAAGTTTCTGTTCTCTCTTTTTTGCACTGTTTGTACGTCTGGCATCTCCGGTCCTCTCTGTGACCAGCTCACCTTGGTTATGGGGTACCACCACTGTGGCAGGAGAATGGTTTTGTGAACTCCCAGAGCTACCTCGTTGTTCTGCTGTTTGTGGTTTTACTGGGTTCTGCCAGGGTGTGTGGGGGAGAGGAGGCCAGTTTGTCATCTAGCGATTCTGCCCAACCCTTGCCTGTGTTATTTACAACTTCCCAGCCACCTCTGCCTGTTTCTGCTGTGATGGGAGAGGAAGAAGGGAGACGCCTTTTCAGTGAGGAAAACTGCTTCTGTCCCTCTTAAACTGAAGTTCAATTCCTCCCCTACTACCATGCTAGCTGAAGCAGTGGTGGATGCCCAATTGCATCCCTGTCCTTCCTCCCATCACGCCTACCAACGTGCCCACCATCAAATGTTCCAATGCGTGGATCTTTCTGGTGTTTTTGTGTGTTGAGCAGGGGATCCTTTGTTGAATTAAGAGTTGTCTGATTTGTACATTTAAGGGGAGAAACAATGGAGTTGTCTCACTCTGCCACAAAGCTGACTTTACTCTCATTTAGTGTTATTTTAGTGTCTGATCAGCTACTTTATCAATCTAATCTACATACTTCTACCAGATAATTTTTCCTTAAAATATGATTTCACTACATTATAGTTTTGCCCAAAACCTTCAAGGGCCTCCCACTGTTCAAAGAGTAAGCCAGAGTTTATGATAGATTTTTACATAATGGCATTCAATGAATCACATCTCCCAGAATTTCCATCCTGTGTAGTCCCCTATACACAGATAAGTGGCTTGGTAATGCGACTTGCTCTGGCCAATGGGGAGCCAGCAAGTGTGACTCTTGCAAAGGCTTGCAGTCTTAGAATTGCCTGTTATGCCTTCAGAAGGGTGTGTGCCCAGCCCCCAGCCTAGTCCGGTCACAGGTGACTGCAGCTGCAGAAGTGAGACAGAGGGGTCCAGACCATGAGATATAATAAACTATTGTCTTAAGCCATCAAGTTTAGGGGCAGTGTGCTATATGGCAATAGATAACTGATCTTCCACTGAAATACATTAATAATCTGACCCTATTCCACCATATAGTTTAGTATTTCCCAACAGTTTCTCACCCATGCCAGTGTGGACCCCAGGTTTTGGCTTGGATACTGTCTTTTCTGCCTGAAGTACTTGTATGTAGCTATCTGCCTACTAAAACCTAACATCTATTAGCTAACTCAGCTCCTACAAGGCCTCCTGCCTGCTCATCTCCCCACCTCCACTGCTAAAACTCCAGTGACACTGCCCATCCCATGCTCTTTGGTAGCTGCAAATGCTATCCTGACTTTACACCTACTCTGCCCAATCTGAAATCCTCAACTATACTAAAAATTCTTACCAAGGACATTACAAATTTATCTAAATTTCTCAACGGTTCCAACAAAAACCAGATGTCCTGCAGAAATTCTGGAAATACCTTACATACCTAGAAAGTGTTAAAGTGATAAGAGCCCTTTAGGGAAGAAGCCTTTTTAGCAGGAGGCTAAACTGCAGGCTACTCACTGAGTTGCCTTGTAAAACTCTGCCTCAGAGAGGCAGCAAATGCTAGAATGAAAAAAAATGAAAAAAAACCCAAACTGCGAGTCATGGTGATTTCCTTCACAGGGGCATCCAAAGCAATGACTTTGCAGCCCCGTGACTAAGCACCCATCAAGGAGAGTCACCTGTGCAAGACTCCTGCTCTTTGAAGGAGGGAGGGGCAGCCCACAGGAGTCACCAAAGTCACTGATACTGCTGGAGGGTGAGGAGAACAAATCCCAGGCCCGCTGCACTTCCTGACACTGGAAACGTCTGGCAAACAGCACAGAGATCCAGAAGTAAATAAGCTGTTTACTTTCCCAGTGACTACAGCAATAGGGTACTCATCATCAAAAAAAGGTCTAGTTAGCACAGCTTTCAACCTGGGGCATGCTCATGAGGAAGGTGTGTGAAGCCACAGGTTTATTTTCAAAATACCAACAGGGAGCACCCAAAGGTGGGGCATGGTGAAAAGGAAAAATAAGAGATACTCATATTTTTCTGTGTATAATGTGCACCCATATTTTTGGCCCAAACTTTCAGGAAAAAAGAATCTTTTGTTTTAATTTGTTTTTTCCAATTTTTTATCTATTTGTATTTAGAAGCAAAACTAATTATTGTATTCCGGGGAATTATTTTGTATACGGATATCATTATTGCTTTCTAGAGTTTCACTTTTAACGCATAAGCATAAATAAAAGAATTAAAAACATTTATATAGGTATGTAATTAGTACTACCCATGTATAGTGCACATTCTTATTTTTTCCTCAAAAATTTGGGCAAAAGTACGCATTATACATGGCAAAACACGGTATAAAAGACACAAAACTTGATCTGAAGCCTTTTTCAAATCTAACCATTGGAAACTAAGTGTTCTACTTATATTCCTTGGTGGTCTTAATGAACCAGGGTAGAGGGTAAAATCAGGGCCTGAATTACTTTGGGGGTGATGATTGCTACCCAGGGAAAATTGTTTTGACCATATTAGAATTTGGTGATTGTTAGCATGTCAAGTTTTTAAGGTGATCATTGACCATATTTACCTTTCAATAGGAAAACCCATGTGTAGATGCATGTCAGCTTCCTCAAATGAAATCTCTTCAAACCAGCAAACAACTTTGGTTCTCAAAGACAGACAACGGCCAATGCTCACATTCATTTTAAAGAAAGCACTCATTTTATAATGAGAATCTAAGTTCAACCTTTAATTTAGATGTTTTTCCATTCAGGCTAGAGATTTTACTTCTCACATTACTATCAAAAGTGATACACCCAAAGGTAGTAAATTCTTCTATATAAACAAAAGAATAACTCCTATCCTGCAGGATACGAAAATAAATATTTTAAGTATACATTTTAAATGTTATTAGTTCATAAATAATCTTGCTGAAAAAGTAGAAAATGTGTTTACGGCAATGATATAAAAGACCGAACCATGTCAAAAAGTGTGATTTGATAATTAAAATATAAAACTCAATAGCTTATTATGCAACTTACTCATTTCAAATATACTAATATTCTATTATTGCAAAGTTGTGTAGATTAAATTATATGTAAATAATTACTACCAATTTAAAGATGTTTTTGAAACTTCAGTATCAAGCATTTAAAAAGAATTAAGTAAAATATTTACTGAATGACTTTTATATGTGCTCTATATTTATAAATTTATAAAATAGAAAGACTTACCATTAACAGCTTTTTCATAATTTTTTCCTAGGTTTATTAAATTTCGTAGCCGTGGATTGAACTGTTCCATAACATTCTGACAAACAAACAAAACAAATAAATTAATAAAATAAGCAAATAGTGGACCAAGTAGCCTTTGTCACTACATAGCCTGGGACACCTATGTATGCTGGACCATACAGCCTCCAAGTCATGACTGCTGACTGGAAGTTAATGAAGAGCACACATTTCTGTACTGATGGAACAGGGTGCTTGCACTGGAAAGGTGCCTGTAACCCTGGCCATTCTGCAGGTGTCCAGGGGCTGCCTAGAACCTACTGTCAATGGAGCAAGTAGCAGACAGGCTGCCTGTCAAAGCATACCCTGAAGGTGCTGAGCCCAGAAACTGATGCTGCCTTTGGGTTTAAGTGGATCAATGGTTGTCATTCTAGTGACTGGAATTTATGTGGGCAATGTTCTGGCTATCAACTGGACAGAAATTACGAACAGATTTTGTTTTTACTATGCCTCATTACTGGGAGAGACTGAGGGGGTGAGTGCTGCTGTTAGCTTTAGGATACTTTCTAGGTGGTCACTTGTTCCCACCCCCCTCAGTAATCAGTTTATTCATTAAGCACTTATGGAATAACTACTGTGTGCGAGGTCTTGTGCACAGTAGTGGGTGGAAAGACATGGTTTCCCCTTTAGGGATTTCATGATGCCGTATCTCTGCAGATGTCAGGTTTTTCATAAACTTAGAGACAAATGCTATGACAAGTATAGGACAGGTAATTATTTAGAATGTTACTGTAAATTTAAAATATTCTAAATCTGAAGTAGAGACAAGTAATCATTCCTAGGGGACTCTGACTTGACTCAGAGCACACAGTGACTGAATTTATTTGTCCCACCTACAAACAGTGAGCTTCCCAATATTGCTCATTCCAGAGAGAATACTCAAGTTTCTTTAGTGCCTATCCCAAAGTGTGTAACATTTGTAGAGGAGCAGGCAATAAAAAGAATGAAAAACTAAGCAGCATTCAAAGGGGCAGATACTTGACATACGCCATTTGGGATATAAAGGTTCTCTATTATGAGCTAGCAGAGAGAAAACGTAACTTATTTTATCAAGCAGTAATAAAAGCCTATTATGAAAAATCACCCCTGCCTCACCTTTTCCTATTCCTGGGCTTACTCCCAAGGGCACTCTTAACTATGCTGTTATTCTTGTGTTTACTGCCGTAGTTTTGAGTAGTCTTAATTTCTCAGTACTGGGCAATAACTACAGGCTTTCTGCTAAGAAGATGAGGATTGGCTCTCCACATCACCCCACTTTCCTTTCCCCAACCCTCCTTACATTGGTAAATGGCAATTTCCTGGTAAGTCAATAGTCAGGGTTTACTATTCCTTTGCAAATATTTGTCACTACGAAGAAATGTACTAAGGATTACAGTTCCTTTCTTGGTACAACCTTTTTGTTTCTGCTGGGATTAACGATTGACTCACCTCCCCACCCCCATGCTTAGGCTTAATTTGCTACGTATCTACCTTAAATTTTCCACACATTCTGTTGGATCTAGCAGAGGCCTAACAATATTATTTTTCAAACACGCAAAGTTGTCAGCTAATCTTCCATTCCATGTCCCCCCTAAAACGTTCTCCAAGGACTCTCCGTCCTCTTGCTCAATCTGGCCTGAGTGTCCCTGCTACACTGTTGCCCTTCTAAGTCCCTTTCTGGTCCCTTGTGTTACAGCTCTCATTAACCAGATTCTACACCGTCCTCTTTCTTCATTTAGTCCTACTTACTGGAGATCATTCTCCAAGAATGACCTAAGAATTGATGGTGTGAGAGGTAAATTTGAGTACTCATGTATCTGAAATTATTTTCATCTTGACATTTGATTGACATTTTGCTGGCTAGAGTATTATAGATGGAAAGTGATTTTCCCTTAGAATTTTTAAGATACTGCTCCACTAACTTTAATATCCAGGTTTGCTATCATCATTTCTTCCTTTCTACATGGCTTTTTTAGGGGGAGGTTTATTTCTGGAAGTCTTCTCTTTACCCCTGTGTTCTGAAACTACATAATGGTCTATCTCAGTGCAGGTACTTTTTTCATTTATTTTACTGAACACTCAAAAGACCCTATCTAATCTATATAGAAAATTATGTCCTTTAGTCTGAAAAATGTTCCTCTTTTGTTTCTTGTCTCTTCATGCTTTATGGAACTCTGATGAAGACTTTATACATCCTGGAGTTATTCTCTAAGAGATTTTCCTTTTTTTCTCTGATTTTCCACCTTTTGTTCTGTATCGCTGACAGATATCCTCAACTTTACATTCCATCTCTCCTACTACATTAAAAAAAAAAAACTTTTGATATATTTTCAACTTGGGCTGTCAAGTTTTTTTTGATTATTCCTTTTTAAAAGCATCCTGTTCTTGTCTTATGGATGCAATATAGTCTCTTACTTGAATAAACTGTAATTTGGGGGTATTCTAGTTCCCCATGTTATGTCCTGATTATTTCTTCTGTGTTTGGTAGCCATGTCTTTTGTGTTGAAAGGTTTCTCAACTGTCTGATGATCCTTGATCAGTACATGTCTAAGAGTAAACCCTAAAATGCTGGCTTGAGGGTGTGGTTATGAATGCAGGGTGGCTGTGGACTTTGCATGCAGTGACTGACAGCAGGTCAGCTATAGACACACTGGCCATGGGACAGTAACCAGAGGCTATTGGGTCATTCCAGAGATGTTTCTAATTCCCTGTCATTGGGTGGAGGAGAGGCAATCACCAGGCGATAGCCTTGCCCAGTAAGGAAGGGGGTTGAGAATCCCAGTTTACTGAGCTGATTTTTACTGAATTCCCTCCCGTTTCCAGCTCTGAGTTTTACTTCCCTTATCCTCAGCTGGTGTTTCCAAGTCACTTTATTCTGAGACTAACTCTCCAGTCTGCCAGGCAGAGGACACTGCTGTCAGTAGTGGTGGCTGGGGCAGGAAAGAGAACCTGGCAGTTTAACCACGTTGTAGAACTACTGCAGCCATGTGTGTCCCTCCATCCCCACCTTCTGTGGGGCCCGCTCCTCGGCCTTTGGGGTGTTGGCGTCAATGGCTCAGTCCTTGTTCCCTACTCCTCTCTGCAGGTTCTTAGGCTTTCTTAAGACAGTTACGATTCCTCTGTCCATTTTCCATCACCTCAAATTTCTCTAGGCTTTTTGTCAACTGATCTCTACATGTTTAGATCTTTACCTATGGATTTAAAGTGTTTTTTAAAAAGTTCCTTTGACATCGTTTTAATGTATTCTCAGGAAAAAAAAAAAAGAGTAGAAAAACACATGAGGTCTATCTACCGTGTTTAACTGACACTCATCCTGTATTATAGGGGCCAGTCAGCTGTTTAAGCTTCTTTTGCGACTAGTAGCCCCGAAGCCCCAAAGCCAGCACTGCCTTCCTCACGAGCCTGTGCAAGATGGTAAACATCAGTACCTGACACGGGACCTGGAGCCACAACTGCTATTTATATCTCTCTCCTCAATTTCCTTATTTTGTTTTTAAGCTTTTTACTTTGAAATAGTTTAAGATTCACAATTAAGATGTAAAAACTGTATAGAGAGTTCTCATGTATGCTTCCCGCAAGGATAACTTATATAACCATAGCACATTATCAAAACCAGGAAACTGACACTGGTACCACACTATTAACTAAACTGCAGACCTTATTGGATTTACAAATTTTTATACCATTCATTTTTTTTTGAAGAGGTGCATTGTTTCTATGAAATTTCCCCAATGTACAGATTTGTATAACAATCACAATATAGAACTGTTCCATTAACACAAAGCTCTCTTTCATGCCACCCCTTTATAACCATACCCTCCCCACCCATCCTAACCCCTGGCAACCACTGATCTCAATTACTGATATTGTCATTGTAAAAATGTTATATAAATGGAATCATGTGACCTTCTGAGATTGGCTTTTTTACTGGGCACAAACACCTTAAGTATCATTCAAGTTGAATGTATTGGTTTATTCTTTTTTTTTTTTTTTTTTGCCAGCAGTATTCCATAGTATGGAAGTACCACAACTTGTTCGTCCACTTATCCACTAAACATTTGGGTTGGTTTCCAGTTTTTGGCAATTTCAAATAAAGTGGATATGGGCATTCACATATAGGTTTTTGTGTAAATATAAATGTTGGTACCTGTAAGATACCAATTGAACACCTGGGAGTTCAATTGCTGCATCATATGGTAGGTATATGTTAAACTTTATAAGAAACTGCCAAACTATTTTCAAGAGTAGCTGTACCACTTTACATTCCCATCAGCAATGTGTGAACTTTCAATAATTTAAAAAATCTAATAACTGGTAGAAAATGGTTACTTTCTAATAAAAAGACAAAACTATTTTTTAAATATCTCACTTAAAATCCTTATCTTATGAGACCATGTCTGGATGGTAAGACTCTAAGTTCTAATAAAAAGATAAAGCTAAGTTTACTATATCATTTAAAATTCTTATAGTAATCTTATGAGGCTGAGTTTGAATGGTAAGAATATTAGGAAAGTGATACAGAGTTCTCCTGGAAAAAAAAAGTTTAAGACTTTAGAGTACAATCTGACTCACAGAAAATACATGAGTTTTTAAGCTTGAAAGTTTAACATACAGTTCAATTCTTTATTATTGAGGTTTAGCTACAGAAATTTTTCCCCTGTAAATTTTGGCCTCTTTGAACAGTGGAAAATCCACTTCTACACTGGCTCTTGGCCATTGTTTAATTATTTTAACTGAAGTACATGTATTTTTAAACCCGGAAAGAAAAAAGCGGTGCTGTCTTATGTGTTTCACAACCTACAATTTTATAGTAGCACTGGGCATCTTTGTGATTTGGATGGGTTCCATATTTGGGGGAGAGGACAGCAGTCAGAGGTCAAAGGTCATGCTGTGTCAAGGCTTAAGACCTGAATTGTTCAGAAAGCCTACAATTTTGTGAGAATCACGAGTAGTGATGAACAAATCCATTTTGATTTAATTTAAACTAAAAGTAAAAGGTTTAAGATACCAAGTATAAAAACAAAACAAATTATAAAAGGT